ATCATTGCCACTAATCATCTCTTCATCACCTCAGACCTCAGCCTCTGCTCTGCCTGCCTCAGCTGTTTCCTCAGTCTCAGCTCTGTTTGTCCTCTTCAGTGCTGTCATCGAATAAATTATCTTGATTGCCGCATATCTTGGTTCACTAACTCAAATTTTCGCCGAGCCCATTTCAACACCTTGTTGGGCCTGGCATAACACCTGAAAGTTCTTTAAACGCGTATTTGTACACATTAATTTACATGTTATTTAATAAATATATAATAATTAAATCTGTGTAGTAAATTTACCCCCATATATGCAGAAAACTATGATCTTTGACCTTAGCATCTTAACTATTTCCATTGTGTTTGAAACTACATTTCCCTGTAAGGTAAATTATTTTCCAGTCTGGTACATGGTAACAGTTGAATAGCTTTTATCTTCAATGGTTTTACTTTGCCTACTATTTTATTTGCATCTTGCACAACAGTAAAGCATACACCTACACAGTATGTACACCTGTAAACTCCTTCATAATTGTTTTTCTGCATAGCTTTGTTTTGATAGTTTTACAGAATGGAATTTGTGACCAATGCTAAAATGTAAAATCAGAAATAAGTCTTACGTTGGTCATTTTCTTGTTCTTTTTCTTGATTGCTGCCACAAGCTTTAATGGTCTCGTAAACTGAAATAACTCTGTAAAATGTTTGTGCCCATTTTAAATAAAAATCTGAAAGGAGCTTTACAAAGAGTAATGGAGAAAAAAAGTATTTATAACAAAGCAATTTTGCCTTAGATGTTTACAGATCTATTTATTTTAAAGATAAAACTGAGCATGTATGTTCTATACTTGATGTCTTGAAATAATTCAGCTTACATGGATTCTGAGGAATTTTCTTTGTCTTTCAGCTATTTGCTCACAATCAACCAATATGCCTCATAAAAAGAGATACAAAACTGTGTCAGGCCAAAATGCACAAGATATAAGCAATATAAACAAGTCTTACAAATTCTCCTTTGCTGGAGTACTAGTATAACAGAGACCAAACAGACGCTCATGGTCTTTGTTGTACTTCTTAAACAAGGATTCACCAGCTCCTTTGTATAGCAGAAAGAGAAAATGAGAGTTGCTTTAATAAATGCATATTGTCAGTGAAACAAAGACTCTTTCATACAAAACCCAAAAGCTCTTCCTCATTAGCACAAATTAGTCTTGACTATTTGACCCACTTTCCCATGATTTTGTCAAATGTTTTTTCAGAAGTCACTTAGCCTTGAAAATGACCCAGAGTTGGGGTGTTTGCATCACTGGATGGAAGAGTGCTGCTTTTGTAAAGCCACTGCCAAGAAATGACAAACCACTCTGAGTTTGTCTGGCAAACAGGCAAGCACACCAAGATTCATCCAGGATTTTTGTATCTTTACACTGGAGGCAGAACAGAAAAAAGGCACACATAAAAAAATTAAAACTAACTTCACTCTTTCTGGAGCTGAAGCCACACTACGAAGCTTAGATTCTGATCTGAGCATGTAGACATTACTAGATATATTTTATGCAGTACTTCTTCTTAAATTAACAAAATGAGTAATTCTGAGTTTATCTTGAAAAATGTAATTTAAATAAAAATTGTTTCTTTTAGTTATGAAAGGATGATTATTAAATTATGTAATAAAATATGCTAAACAACTACAGCACAAACCTGGGAACACATGCCTCACACTATATTGGTTTGATCTGCAACATCAAATACCACCTCTCTAAATAACATGTTGATCTGCACTTTTTCAAATGTTTAAATAAATATAGAAATAAATTCAGCCACGCTTCCAGACAGCAATATTAAGGATATACAAACACTATGTACAGTATACACATTTGGTTTACATTCCAATTATTATTGACAGATTTCTACAGGATCTAGTGAAAACAGACAATTACTTAAAGGAAGGCAACACGTCTCACAGTTCATTCTGTCTTAATATCTTAATATGATGTTGAACTCTCATGCAGGATTGCTGAAGTCTGCCAATTTCTTGGATTATTTTCATAATCACTTTCAGGATTATTTTTTTTATTTAATTCATTTACTGCATAATTAAAAACCAGCATGGTTCAAAGGTTTACAAAACATAAGATGATCAAATACAACAATTCAAATGCTACAGGAAACCATCAACATACAAATGATTGTCTAATAAAGGTATATCTAATAAAGATATTTTTGTTCCAATTTACTCTTAATTTGTGCATTATGAAATATGATTATTTAAATAAATTATATATATTTTTGCTTGTTTGTTTGTTTTCTGCAGTGCACTTTACATTAATCAGTCCAACATAAAAATTACTTCCTTACAACTAAATGTAATTTTTCTTGTATTTTTTGCATTTCCTTTAAAGTCTGAATAATTGTGTTGGTTTAAAAACAATGTTCCCAAGAAGCAGAAGGCTTGTACAACAGTTAAAACAATTACTATGTAATTGAAAATGTAATCATAGTGAGGATCACACAACCACTTTGATTACAACAGTATATCAGTATGCTTGGCATTTAAATAAAAATAGGTGTTTCCCAGATCTGTTTTGCAATCCTATTGCACTTACAATATATCAAAAAGATTATCAGCAAATGTAAAAGAATAAAACGT